CTATAAAAAATAGTAAAAAATTCAGGGGGGACCCTCTAGACAGGGGACCCTCCAGGACCTACCCTAATTCATATTGTAGTAGTATGCTCCAGTATTGTTCAGCTTATTTGCAGCTGTGACAAATATCTCATTGAATTTCGATTTTTCTACTTTGATGACATTGCCTTTTAAAGGCGTGTTGTTTAAGTTGTTAATAGCTGGAAATATATATTGAAATGTTATGTTATTCTTATCATTTGAGAATAAATTATTATAAGAAAATGTTAGAATTGATTGATTGCATGTTATACCTTTTTGAGCATCCTTTTGTGACGCAACTTGAATGTGTGCGTGATCGTCGACAATTTTGATTGCCTGGACATCAGCGTATAGATCTGAAACCCAAAACATTAATAATGTAATTCCTTTAATACAGTAATTGCAAAGGGACGAACTTATGACGGGTTATTTGGGTTGAAGTTCATAAATATTCTAAGACTGGTGCATGCACATGAACCATGGATCAATATGGTATGTCGAGTTAAATTTTACATTGGCATTTCAGTGGCAATGAGAGATTGAACATAAAGAAGAGTAAGAGGGTGCAAACAAAAATTGTAGGAGTTTTGATTCTAATACGTTATGAGTTTCATTCGAAATATATTGTACCTTTTTTAAACAGTATAAGTATATTACTTACCGAACAACTTAAACAAATCTTGCATTGTGACATCCTGTGAATGAAATGAAAAAAAATATAATAATATATTATTGAAATTATATATTGATTGATAATTTCAATTCAAAGTCCTATTATCACCTTATTTCTGTTTGATACATATAAACAACATGTGTCCTTAGTTTCTTCGTTAGGAACTTTATTGTCACTTTGCTGGTTGACATTCTTTGATACAGAGTACGTATCAGTGTCATCTAGTGATTTTGGCTTAACGAAGTATTCTGGAGCACTAGAGTAGAAAGAAATGGATGCAGCTTTAGAGTTTGTTACAAGCATGACATTTAAAATTAAACAATCATTTCCAATGAATGTGGTACGTACTGTGGTTCTAAAAATTTATGTTTCGTTAGCAAGTTATTGTAATCTTTGGCTAATTGTTCAAACGCAATTGTTGCATAGTCCTTATTTATTTTGTGAATCTCACATTCTTGCAGAGCATCTGATAATCAGATTAAAATTTATGAAAAATAATTCCATGGTCATTTTTAGAAATGTAAGCATCATATTTACCTTTTAGTTGTGCTTTAAGTTCTGCTATTTCAAGTGAACATGATTGACTGTTGCACGTCATAATGAATGCTTGTTGATGAAAGCGAAGTTGAATAGCTACAAAGATGAAATGGTTAGGTTAGTTAATGGACAAGTTAGTTAAATTAATATATTGCAGCTGATGTTTATAGGTTTGTAAGGCGTAATAGAAGTTAAATAGTGTAGCTCAATTATGGATTGCAAAGGAATTATGGTTTTTATAAAATATTATTGAGGTAATTCGAAATGTGGGTTCAAAGGAGCACGTTCTATTTTATTTGATAAAGTGTCGAATGGTTTCGAACACGCTTTAGGCAATTATTTTTTGGTTTATTGTTAGATATTATGTTTATTGTTGAAATCAATCTAATTTTTTTGTATTGTAACGAAAGTTGAACGTACTTATCAATGAGAAGAGCTGAGGACCGTGGTCACGTTGTGTGAAGGTGAATACGCACTGTTAAGTTGCGGGAAAACAGCGATGGCGGAAATGGTGGTGTTACCAACATAATTGTGTTGGAAGTACTTGCAATTTGTTTTTCATTTTGATTCCATTTTTTTATGAAACCGAAAGTAATAATGTTTTTTTCGTTAATTAAAATTTGTATTAATAATGTTGTGGATGATGACATTATTATAATCTTTAAATTGTTGGTGGGAATTTGTGGATTGGTAAAAGTTTACGTCATAATACGTGAAGGTGATTTAAATCTAATTGTAATTATAACAGATAATTAAGCGTGCAAAATAATTGCAAGTGGAAATGTAAATGTATAAATTGAATATTTCAGTTAGTTTGTATTAAATGTATTGATGGTAGGAAAGTATATGTTTTAATGAGTCGTTTATTGGGGTTCAAGTTGACTTGCGTAGTCCTTTCTCTACGTTTTAAAGCTGGTTGGAACCGTATTTCGTTCTCTCTTTCACCGGTCCGGTCATCTCAGCAGTTGGAATTTGAATATATTCTATTTGACAGGTAAGTGAAATTTCGTATGTTTTAGGTTATAACACGTGTGAATGAGATTGTGTTGATGTCATTGTCACTAGTTATCAGTTTAATGTCATTATTAATTAAAGTTGTAGAAATATCAATTTGTGGACAGCAGGTGTAATGAGTCAAGTACGTGTTTATCACACGTTTATTGTTTCGTGCATTCATTCGTTTGTAATGTTTGCGTCATTTGCACGGGCGTATGATTTTCATACGCCTTGCCTGTCACGCAGTTCATTTAGTTTCACAGTTTCGGCCAAATTTTAATTGCAAAATGATTCATATGATATGTGTTTTATTATGTTGCTGTTGTGAAAGGAATAATTGATGATCTGATTGAGTAATAGTTTAAATAATTGTTTACAGAAGTCTATAATGTTGTATTGTTTCATTTGCAGTCATGGATCAAAGTACTGATGAAGTGCAAGTGTCTTTTAGTGACCTGAATGTTGGGGAGATGTACCCTATTAAGCAAGCCTCAAAGGAATTGAGGAAATTTGATGGGAAGATGGTGGATAGTGTGAAGCTGGATATATCAACTTCTAAGTTATTGCGGACAACTACATATGCGCCATCTGGCATATTGAAATATGCTCAAGATAACATTGATGCGATTAATGAAGCAGCTCAATCAGGGAAGCATTATAGTGCCTGTTTTTATGGTGCGATATTTAATCCGAATAAAAGTAAGCGTTTCATTGGACGCATTCATGAACCTGGTGAAGGTTTGTATATTTTGGTTGGTTATGATTTTATTATTGTATTGTTGGAATTCAGTATTCTAATTTT